GGCTCCCAAGATGGCTTCCGACGGCGTCAGGCGGGCCAGAAACGCCCTGAGACGGCCAAAGACGCCCCCAAAGAAGACCTCAAGAAGCCCCCAAAAGCTCCCAAGAGGCTCAAGGAAGCCCCCAAGAGGCCTCCAAGAGGCCCGAATAGTGCCTCAAGAGGCTCCCCAAACGCCTCCTCCTCCTCCTCCCTCTCCTGATCCCCCGCGTCATGCTCCCCCAAGCGTCCCACTAAAGATTTCCAGAGCAGTTCGGGGAACGCCTGGTCTGATAGCTTCGCGAATCTCTAGCTCCAAACGCTTGGCCATAGGGCTTCCAAGAGACGGCTTAGAACGAGGCTCCCCTGGTAGCCTCCGACGCCGCCAGACGGGCCCGAAACGCCGCCGACGGCGTCGGACGGGCCAAAACCGTCCCAAGAAGGCCAAAGAGGCCGCCAAGAAACTAGGAATCTCCCAGGTGGCCCCAATATTCTCCAGAGACTCCCCAAAGGTCTCTTCCTTCTTCATTTCCTCTTTTTTTTGTTTCTTTCCCCCCTCCTCCTCTGTCTCATCTTCTTTGCGTCTGTCCTTCTTCTCATTGCCGCTTCCTCTTCGCGTGCTCCTCGAAGGCTTTCCAAACCTATTCGGGGAGCACGTGGATTCACAGCTGGGGCAAGCTCCAACTCAAGTTTCGGCGTCTAAGCGTTTCCAGTGACATATAGTGACATCGCTCGATCCAGCTCTGCTTCGCACGTGCAATGTGTTTCACATCTCAGGGCGCTGGTTACGAAACGTTCGGGGCGTTTCGATAACCTCAAAACGTGGAGCACTGAGAATGGCCCCGTTGGTTCGCCGAAGAAGGCTCAAGAGATACGTTCCACTGGATGGCGCATGCTTTTTCACTGTAAACATTTCTCAAGTCAGCTCCTGAACAATCTCAGACGGGCAGTGCGGGTGAGACGGCCGTCGCGACTTGCTCAAGATGGCCTAAGACTGCCCAAGAGGACCCCAAGAGGCCTCCAAGAGCTCCACCAGGAAGGCCCGAAGAGGCCACAATCATGGATTCCCCTTGGGTTTTTGAAGGGTTTTGGCATTTTCTTATTTTCAGCTCTCCGACGGCCCAAGAGTCCCCAAACATCGCCCCACGAGCGCCCAAGGGGCCTCCAAGATGGCCCCATGACAGGCCAAGAGGCCCCCAAGAGGGCCCCAACAAGACCCAAAGACGGCCCAAGAGGCCCCCAAGACGCCCAAGATGGCCTCCAAGACGGCCAAGATGGCCTCCAAGATGCCTCCAAGACGGCCAAGAAGGCCTCCAAAACGGCAAAGATGGCCCCAACATGCACCCAAGACGGCCCCAAATGGCCTGAAGATGGCTTTAGACTGACCAAAAGGCCCGCCGGAGGCATCCAAGACGGCCCAAGACCCCTCAAAGACGTCCTCCAGGAGGCCCGAAAGCTCGGAAACCACCTGGTCCGATAGCTCGCCCGACTCCGTGTTTCCCGAAGGCTTTCGAAACCCACTCGGGGAACGCGTGGCCCGAAAGCTTGGTCAAGCTCAAACCCAACTTTCGGCCACGCAGGTGCTTCCAAAAAGGCAGGGGGCGGCGGTGATTCGCCGTAGGCGTCTTCGACAAGAAAAGACAGAAAAGACGGGACGGATCAATATATCATGAAATATTCACGCTATGACCTGGCCAACGACCCACCAACAAGTCAACACGTCCAGGAACTAGCCCGCCAACAAGCTCGACCGACGGACACGACGCACACATTCCATTCAACACATACTGCGTAAGGCGACTGCCCAAACCCTGCCCCTCCTCCTCCTCCTCCTCCTCCTCCTCCTCCTCCTCCTCCTCCTCCTCCCTCCTCCCCCTCCTCCTCCTCCCCCTCCTCCTCCTCCTCCTCCTCCTCCTCCTCCCCCTCCTCCTCCCTCCTCCCTCCTCCTCCTCCTCCTCCTCCTCCTCCTCTCCTCCTCCTCCTCCTCCTCCTCCTCCTCCTCCTCCCCCTCCCCCTCCTCCTCCTCCTCCTCCTCCTCCTCCTCCTCCTCCTCCTCCTCCTCCTCCTCCTCCTCCTCCTCCTCCTCCTCCTCCTCCTCCTCCTCCTCCTCCTCCTCCTCCTCCTCCTCCTCCTCCTCCTCCTCCTCCTCCGCCTCCTCCTCCTCCTCCTCCTCCCTCCTCCTCCTCCTCCTCCTCCTCCTCCTCCTCCTCCTCCTCCTCCTCCTCCCCTCCCCCCCCTCCTCCTTCTCCCCCTCCTCGTCCTCCTCCTCCTCCTCCTCCTCCTCCTCCGCCTCCGCCACCGCCTCCGCCTCCGCCTCCGCCTCCTGGGTCCCACGGTCTCGCCAGCAGGAGGGCCTCACGGTCTCGTCCAAGAGCGTGGTGGTCTCCTGCGCTCGCCACGCCGACGCGGTGAAGAATCGCTTCCTTTGTGCGGCGTCGCGGGCACCGCGTCACGGGCGCGCGCCACGGCCCCTGCCTGGGGGTTGACCTCGGAGCCGGCAGGCGGATGGCCAGGACGACCGTCCGCAAGCGCATGCTCAGGTCGGGGGTGGCCCACGCCCGCCTGCGCGGCATGGCGCGAGCGGGCCGCCGCTGCGCGCGGTGCACTCGCATCGAGCAGGGGTTGGAGTCCAGACGGCTGCGACCGATGGCCACAAGGTCTACGGAGCCTTCGGCTCGTGGATGCCGGAGCTCCGCAGGCGGCTGGGCGCTGTGTCAGGCGCGGTGCGCCGCAGGCGCTGCTTGTTGTCCCCGCGCGCAAGTTGCCGCGAGAGATGATCAGCTTGTGGTTCTCCGCATGGCAGCGCAGCCCAGACCTGAGGAAGCCTATGGCTAAGGCTTGGATTTCTGTCCACGATCGTCCGCGTGAGGCCGAGTCCAGCCAGAGGTCGCGCCTGGTCCCTGGGCCCACTTCGGCTCCACAGTGCTACATGATGCAGTTCGGGTGGAACCCTGCGGGTCCCATGGGCTGGGAGCGCCATTGTGCAGATGGATCGCGCGAGCGATGGGCCTTTCCAGATGCAGCTAGTGTCGACCACGGCTCGATGGAGCAGCCGCTCGCCGCCATCGACGCTTCCATCCAGGAGAGGCTCTGGCGGCAGGCGGCGCAGCACTGGTGCGGCTCGGGGCTCGAGGGGGGCGCGGACATGTCATCCCTGCTGGAACTGCTCGGCGTCCTGGGCCGCCTTCCTGGCAGCGCTGCCCTGGAGGAGCCCATGGCCACGATCGCCGAGGGCGGCTGGCCCAGGAGACGTTCGGGGCGGCCGTCGACGCGACTTGCCCCCAGGTGCGGTGGCGCGCCCGAGACGGCCCACCATCGATTCTGGGCCTGCCCCTGCAGCGTGGGCTCGCGGGCCTGCTCCGACAACGACCACTTGCGTGGCCGCGCGCGGGTGGAGCACGAGGCGCACGAGGGATTCTGGCTCCGTGGCGCGCTGCCGCGGGCTTGGACTGGGGTCCCAGAGCCCATCGCCACGGACCGCTGGATGAGCGTGGGCTTGAAGGGCCCCATTGCTGCAGGCGCGCTGGGCGCTGGCACGGCGGCGCGGCCCCTCGGCGTCCTCGTCGACGCCAGCGGCGGGCTGAAGGCTGCTGCTGCCGCGCTGCGCCGAGTGGGCTTGGCGGCCGTGGTCGTGCAGCCCCATGATGGGCGCATGGTCCGCGCCACCTTCGGAGGCTTGTCGGGCCCGCAGCAGACGGTGCACCGTGGCGAGCCGAGGACTCTTGTCTTGGCGGCCCAGTGCTCTTCGGGCCCGACGATGTTCATCTCGGACAATCTGTCAGTATGTGAAGGGTGGTGGGCCCAGCGCGATGCCGCGCCGCGGGGCCCCGATGCTGATCTGTGGCGGGCGCTGGCGGCTGTGTTCGCCGACCGTCCGCGCAGCGAGTTCGTGGCCTTCCACGTGAACTCGCACCCTGAGGTGGACGAGACCGAGCAGCGGCGCATTCCGCAGTGGGTTATCCGTGGCAAAGCCGTCGCCGACGTGTTTGCGGGCGTCGCGGCCGAGTCCGTTAGGTTGCCTGCCGCTGTTCTTCACTGCATTCATCGCGCCGAGCGCGATACCCTCCACGTTCGCCGGAGGCTTTTCCGGGCCACGCTGGACGCCATGGAGGCAGAGGGCACGGCGCCGCTAGCCGTGCAGCGCAAGGCGCCGCCTGGGCGCCGTGCCACGGCCCCCTTCTGCCCCTCGCGCGACCTGGCCGCAGACGGCAGCGGCTCGCGGTGCCGCTGTTCGGCGTCGCGTGCCGCCCGCGTGGAGTGGCTGCAAACCCCGTGCCCTGGACTCCGCACCGTTGGCCCCGACCTGTGCGAGTTGGGCGGCGGGCAGCGAATCCACGTCGGCGGCGGCGAGCCGCACGGACGGGTCCCACACGATGGCGCTCCACACGGCGCTGGACCTCTGGTGTTGCCGCTGCTGTGGTTTCTTCGCTCTGGCTTCTGGACGCCAGTTCGGGCGCGGGCTGAGCGACGACTGCCCAGCCCGAGGTGAGGAGGTGCCCGCCCCACTACCACGGGCAGAAACTACCTGGGCCGCATCGTGCGCGGCCTGTGGCCGAAGGCCCTGGCGCGGGCCGAAGCCGCCCGCGCGGCCGCCGCAGCGGAGGCTGCTGCGGCCACGCCCACGGTGCCTGGCGCCGAGCTCGCAGGGCCGCCAGGCGTTTCGTCCAGCCCGAGACCTGAGGCACCACTTCGGTTCCGTCCGCAAGCTTTCTGATGGCCTCTCGGAGGCCTGGCCCCGCAGCGGCCGCTGGGCGTCCCATCAACCAGTGGGACGTCTCAGTCTGTCCACTCCACTCCACTCCGCCTCCGCCTCCGCCTCCTCCTTCGCCTCCGCCTCTCCGCTTCCTCCTTCTCCTCCTCCTCCTCCTCCTCCCTCCTTTCCTCCCTCCTTTCCTCCCTCCTTCCCTCCCTCCTTTCCTCCCTCCTTCCCTCCCGCCCTCCTCCTCTCTCGCCGCCCTCCACGGCAGCGGGCGTCGGAGGGCGCCCGCGGGCCGCGCGTGGTGGGGGGAGGGGGCGGCACCGCTCCTGGGTGGCCAGCTGCGACTGCAGCTCGCTCTGGCGGCCCTCCTCCTCCAGAAGCGCCCGCCTCGGAATCCGAGGCGGTTGACGAGCGCCCGCGATCTCTGCGCGCGGACCGGCGACGAGAGACCTCCTCCTGATGCTGTTGCTGCCTCTTGCTCTCTTCCTCCTCCTCCTCCTCATCCTCCTCCTCCTCCTCCTCCTCCTCCTCCTCCTCCTCCTCCTAGGCAAGACATGGAGAGCCACGGGTTCCGCAACTCCCTACACAAGCCGGACCAACTCATATTGGAGCGGGCCTCAACACACCGGAGGATACGAGAAACTCCAGACGAGATGTGCCTGTACTCGGCTTTGATAGGCCTGCTCCAACTCTTCTTGGCCCATCCAGGCAACTCTCCTAAACAAGGAGAAGAGAGCAAGGCAAGACGGGCAGACGAAAGCACACCAATTCTGGAACATCCAATAAGATCAACTCCTTCTTGGAACCGAAAACGGACAAGGCATGAGGAGCCTTGCCCTGGACACGAAATTCCCTGGAGGCGAGAATCGCCGTCGACACCAAGTCCGTTGGCACAGGATCCTGCACCAAAACAAGTTGGGGCTTGGGCGACTTGCCTCTCTGAAGGGCGGGGGGTGGGAGGAGTCAGGGAGAACGTCACCGACGCGCGCCACCCACTGCCCCAGGACTTCAACACCCGAGCACGGGCCTGCAGCGCAGAGAGGCGGGGCTGCGGGGGACGGAGGGCCTGGGCCGCCCATTTGGCGTGGGCGTCGGCGGTGTCGTTGTACGAAAGTGGCGACAGTGTCGCAGATCGCAGCCCCCCAGGAGACGGCGAGGTCTTGTGGTGATCTGCGTGGGACGTATCTCCGCCGGCCCTCCCAGAAGCCCACGAACGTGGCGACAGCTTCGCATATCGCAGCCCCCCACGGGACGACGAGGTCTCGTGGTGATCTGCGTGGGAAGTACCTCCGCTGGCCCTCCCAGAAGCCCACAAAAGGGGCGACAACTTCGCAGATCGCAGCCCCCAGGGGACGGCGAGGTCTCGTGGTGATCTGCGTGGGGCGTACCTCCGCTGGCTCCCCCAGAAGCCCACGAAAGTGGCGACAACTTCGCAGATCGCAGCCCCCCACGAGGCCTCGTGGCATCGTGGCGATCTCCGTGGGACGTACCTCTGCAGGCCCTCCCAGAAGCCCACGAAAGTAGCGACAACTTCGCAGATCGCAGCTCCCAGGGGACGGCGAGGTCTCGTGGTGATCTGCGTGGGGCGTACCTCCGCTGGCTCCCCCAGAACCCTACGAAAGTGGCGACAACTTCGCAGATCGCAGCCCTCCAGGGGACGGCGAGGTCTCGTGGTGATCTGCGTGGGACGTACCTCCACTGGACCTCCCAGACGCCCACAAAAGTGGCGACAACTTCGCCAATCGCAGCTCCCCAGGGGACGGCGAGGTCTCGTGATCTGCGTGGGACGTACCTCTGCTGGCTCTCCCAGGAGCCTACGAAAGTGGCGACAGCTTCGCCAATCGCAGCCCCCCAGGGGACGGCGAGGTCTCGTGGTGATCTGCGTGGGACGTACCTCCGCTGGCCCTCCCTGAGGCCCACGAAAGTGGAGGCAGTTTCTCAGATCGCAGCTCCCCAGGGGACGGCGAATTCACGAGGCAGGGAGGAGGAGGAGGAGGAGGAGGAGGAGGAGGAGGAGGAGGAGGAGGAGGAGGAGGAGGAGGAGGAGGAGGAGGAGGAGGAGGAGGAGGAGGCGGGGGAGGAGGAGGAGGAGGAGGAGGGGGAGGAGGAGGAGGAGGAGGAGGAGGAGGGAGGAGGAGGGAGAGGAGGAGGAGGGGAGGAGGAGGAGGAGGGAAGGATGGATGCTGCTGCTGATGGATGCTGATGATGATGATGCTGATGCTGATGATGAGCTGATGATGATGCTGCTGCTGATGATGGTGATGATGATGATGATGATGATGATGCTGATGAGCTGATGCTGATGCTGCTGCTGCTGATGATGCTGATGCTGCTGATGATGATGCTGATGCTGGATGCGGATGATGATGCTGTGCTGCTGCTGCTGCTGATGATGATGATGATGGATGATGATGATGATGATGATGATGATGATGATGATGATGATGATGATGATGATGATGATGATGATGATGATGATGATGATGATGGATGCGGAGGAAGAGGAGGAGGGGAGGAGGAGGAGGAGGAGGAGGAGGAGGAGAAGAGGAGGAGGAGGAGGAGGAGGAGGGGGAGGAGGAGGAGGAGGAGGAGGAGGAGGAGGAGGAGGAGGAGGAGGAGGAGGAGAGAGAGGTGGGCCACACACAGTGCTCTTGTCAAAACGATTACTCAACACAAAAGGGTCGGGAAAAAGAATCGGTGGCGGCTGGACCGCCGCCATCTGCGAGGGCCCAATGCCGTGACGCCCACCTCCCTCCTCTCCTTCCTCCTCTCCTTCCTCCCAATGTGTGTGTGTGTGTGTGTGTCTGTGTGTGTGTGTGTGTCCATGGGGCCAGCACCAGTCGCCACCCCGCCCAGGGGCCAGATACGCAGCGCCCCCTGCCCCGACCGCCCCGCCGCTGACCCTGGGTCACAGCAGCGGCTCCGCGCCGCCACCCCCGCCCGCTGCATGGGGATCAGTGGGCCCCCAACCAGTGGTCCGCCTGGGCCGGCGGATCCCGCGAGGCTCAGGGCTGGCAGCCGCCCAGCTCTGGACAAGGAGAGTCACCCCCGCCCGTCCAGCCCTGGGTGCGCCCCAACGGCTCCGCTCCAGCCTTTGATCCCTGGGATGCCGCGGCAGCCGTAGCAGCCGTCGCGCCAGCAATTCCGCCTCCCCCAACCCGCGGCGGTCATCATCCCTACCAGGCGCGCGCCCCCCCACCTGGAGTGGCAGCTATCCTCCACATCGAGGCGGGATCCGAGGCATGGCAGGAGAGGCGCGCGTTCTTCCGCGCCGACACGGACCCTGCGTCTCACCAGCCTAGGACCTCAAGGACTCTCTCGACTGGTGTCTGGAGAGGAACATCAAAGTGGTCGACCTGCTTCACCAGCCTCCCGAGGAGCCCCTGCAGCCTCCCCCCTGGCGCTCGGCGGACGCGGGGGGGCGGCGCAGGGTAGAGCCTGCCCACCCGTCCAGCTGGGCGACAAGCTCATGGCCCGGGTCGGCCCCCCAGTCCCTCGCCCCATCCCCTTCCGCAGCTCCGGCTCGAGCCTGTGCCCCCTCTCTTGGCCAGCAGCACTGCGGCCCTGGCGCGCAGTGGGCCCGTGGCGGCTCGCATGCGCCTGCTCTTCGCCTCTCGCCCCCCGCTGCCCTGGCCCGTCCTGCCAGCTGGCACCCACCAGCGACCGCCTCAGCGCATGGAGGCCCTGCGTCGACTGCGGCGTGCTCACCTGGTTGACCTCCCCCGGCTGCCGCGCCTCCGACGTTCGCCTCTCTATCGCTGGTCCCGCCCTCTGCGGCTGCCGCTGCCACTTGGGCATGTGCCACCGCTGCTGCGGCTGGCCTTGGGTCCAACCGTTCTTCGGACGCGGCACGTCCCGTCCTGTTGCCTCTGTCAACGATTTTGATCTCTGCCCACAGGGCGGCGGTGACCCAGGCGCAGCCCCGCCAAACGGTTGCGAGCTCGCAGCTCAACGCGGGATCCCAGACATGCATGCCGAGGACATGTACGTCACTGTCCCAGGCCCCAGGCACTGGCCCAGTGCCATCTTCTACCCTCCGTCCGTCTCACCACCAGGCCCTCTCCCACGCCACCAGCCGCCCGTCTCTCCCCCAACGGGTCGCTCCCCCCCAGCCTGCTTCATCCTCGGGTGCCCAGCGTGCCACGCGCGGTGGTCCTGGCGCAGCCGCCGCCGTGCCAGCTTGGGACGTGTCCTCACTACGACAGGCCGCGCAGCGACACCTCAGCCATCGACGGCAGTATACAGCCAACACCAGTGCTCCACGGCTCTCTGGACTTGGGCGCCACGCCCGCCCCTCCCGACCGCCCCTCGTCGCCTGGTGATGAAGCGGGCCGCCTGCCCCCGGTCCTCTGGCCGTTCGCCCGCCTGCGCTGTCGTTGCGGCGGGTTCCACGCGGGCATCCCTGACATTCGGCCGCTCCCAGGCCTTCTGAGGTGGGAGCCTTGCATGAGCCGCGGCTCCGCCATGACCAGGGTCAGGCAGATGGTCCGCTGGCGCTGCCCTGGGAGGCGCCCCCCAGACGCCTGCCTGCTTCAGGTCGTGCGGCGAGAGCACCGGCGTCTCTGCCCGGATCCGCCTCCCCGCGCAGCGCGACGGGCAGGGGCCGGTCTGGGGGCGCCGGCGCCCCGCGGTGCGCAGCTCGCCCGCGGACAAGGCCCACGCGTCAGGGTGCGCTCTCCGCCGCCCGGCAGGAGCGGGCTGGCGGGCCACCGCTGGTCCCCCAGCGGGAGCCGCGGGCCCGGACAGCCGCGCCCTTCCTCGCGGCACCCCGGAGGAGGGGCACGGCCGCCGCTCTGACCCCACCCCCGTCCCCAGACCCCTTGGAGTCATGATTTTTTCATGGCGGCCGCTTGCGTCATGAAAAAAAATCACACGTCGCAAAAAAAATCAAGACATTGAGAAAAACTCAAGACATGTCGACACATATACACAGTTGTGTATATATTTATATATGTGTACACGCACATATATATATATATATATATATGGCCCGCACTTTTCATCCGCATGCGTGTGACGCGCGTACGTAGTGCATAATGGCGCGCAGGCCATTCAGCGCCTTTGCCGCCGCCGCTGATGCGCGAGGCGAGCGAGCCCTACTCAAAGATCAAAAGGGCGAGAGAGATGAGAGGAAGAAACATGCACCTCTCAACGCTATATATATATACACACAAACATACATACATCATGCGCAGGCATGCGTGCACGGAGATGGCACTGCGTGGTGCAACTCGAGGGGGGGGGGGGGGGCTTTTTTGGTCCCGGATCCTGGGTCGGGGCCAGGGCGAGCACTGCGCGGCGGTGCGCGGACGGTCGCCGTTTCCGAGCTAGCGCAAGCGACGGTTATGAACCACGCCGCACGATGATGCGGCCGACCAACTGGGTGG